AGGAGGTTGTTACAGCATGTGAATCCTCTGCAAGGGACTTTAAAAAGCTGCTAAACACTCTTACATATCCTCACCTGTCCAAGACACTTAAAGTGCAACTAAGCAGAGAGAGTAATAGAATTGAACTGTGTTCATTTCATTTGATTGGTACGATGCAATCCTAACATATGTTCCAATCCAGAGCATGTAACTGATGTTTTGCACAGATATATTTTCAGCTTTTCTCCCTAGCTGGGCCTTTACATGTGCAGAGTAATAAACTATACAGTGTGCAATGATGTAACATCCCATAACAGTACAGATACTTAGAAACACATATGCTGTTAAATCACTATACATAATTCTACACTTCAATATAAATTACAAAATACTAGGAGTGAAAAATTAGCCAGCACTTGACCTTTTGTTATAAAAACTTTTATAGCTGTCGGAGCAAATTTAGTGTGTCTATAATTATGTATTTTACTTCAACGGTTTTGGTCGATAGGTCAGCTTTTTAGAGGTCACGGGTGTACAGGAAGTTGCACTCAGAGACTTTCAGTTGGGTGCCAAAGCACACCATATCTGAATTCCTCCATAATGTTGTTTTCATGTGCAAAGCAGAAGAAGTGGTAAACATCAGCCATAATGAATTCTTACTGTGTTTACCCTGAAAGCAACCAATTTGCCTCGAGTCGCGTTGCCCCTCCCCCCTTTGTGCGCCACTTGTAGTCTTGAGTTAAGTTGTCTTTTCAAACAAACCAGTACCCTACAAGGTTTATTGTAAACTAAACAGTATGGATCATTTTGACAGCATGAGGGGAAAAGCTGTTACAATGTGGCACCACCAGCCTGGTTCATATATTTGTACTGACTGTTATTTAATATCAGTTTTTTGATCATTTTGAACTATCTTCTTTTTAAACATTGCTGTACCTATATAAACAACACAACTTCAGAAGGTCAACACTCTTTTTAGTTTTTATATTCAGGTCTAATTACAGATTTCTTTCCTCAACTGTTTATAGGTTCTTGTTTAAATTTCACATATATTTTTATCCCTGCACAGGTTATGTACATTTCTTGTATAAGTCTAATTTTAATTGCACAGTTTAAGTTTGATTCATCTCGGGGTATTCTTTAAATCCTTTTTTCAGGTTAATATATATGTATGGGAGGGGGGGCGTCGGTTTTGCGGTTTAATTTTTAACAAATGTTTCATGTCATGTACGTCTTTGTAACCTGCTACTGGATGCTTTGAATTTCCCTCTGGATCAATAAAGTATCTATCTATCTATCTATCTATCTATCTATCTATAGCATGCTTTGAGCAGTGAATTGTCAGGTTACAATAATGAGGGTGAATTTTCAACCATGCATTGGCTTTCCCCCAAGTAGAACCCAGCAACAAATGTTTGACAAAGATTCAGTGTTTTTTTATCTCTATAAATCAGGTATCTTTGCTGATAAGAATGTCTCCAATTTAATTCCCGCCTCTCAACTTGCTTGTTAAAGACTGCAAAGATTAGCCAGTGAGGGGAAAGGGAAGTCCTGGATGTACCTTACACTTATCCAAATAACACCTAGCTACAACAGCTACCCCAAAGTATTGGCTGCTGCCACCAGACCCAATATGTAATCTTGAAGATTGGTTACTTTTGAAGATCAGTTTCTTACAAGGACTGGTTTCATATGAATGTCCAAGATGATTCTAAATCTAGGTTATATAACATTCCAGATTCTCCTCTTTTAGATGGTTATCTTCTCTTTACTGTCTGTGTACCAAACTATAACCTTCCCTGTTTCCATTCCAGAAACCAAAGCTAGGTGTAATGAGAAAAAAAGAGAAAGAAAACAGAGAGGGAACAACAAAGGCAGGAGGACTGATTGAATGAAGGGGAGCACACACAAACAAGGGTTGTCACTAATAGAGAGTTTTATGAGCTCCAGACCTGCTGAAATGGAGTGCGGTGCGCGTGCAGCAGCTCTTATCGGCTCGCTGGCAGCAGGGGAGGGTGAGAGCTTCCACACTTGCGCTCCGTTAAAAATGGTCTGATTCATTTTCCGCATGAGAGGGTCTCACTGGGGCGGCATCAGACCAGCCAGTCCGGGCAGATTTATGGACCATTAAAGCAGCAGGCCTCCTGACCGCTGTGCCACCATAGGCTTGGCTGCAGAGAGACACACTGCAACCCTCATTCATGCTCGGTCACTACCCTCCATTAAGGGGCGAGCTTCCTCATTGTTCATCCCATCATCAGGACCACTTTAACAGCCCTACATGGACTCCTCTCATAGTCTGTAATCCGGCTATTCTTCACCTCACTCCCGTTGATAAAAAAAATTGTGATTTTTCTCACAATGCATTTTTCAGTGTTATATTTTCAGGACACAAACAAATGATTCCTAAAGTCCCTTCTGACCAACATTTCAAGATAGCGTGCTATATGGACCAGGTAATGCTTCAATGCAGTTATGAACTTATATCTGATGGTGGTCATTAGTGCATGTTGTTTTAGCCTAACAGTTTTACAATCGGATTAGCACCATCCCAGGCACACAGACTAATGCGCTCTGTCCTTTTCAAGGCATCCTCAATCACCTGTTTCCCTGCAGTGATTGATGCATCTTCTTCTCCCCCCCCTCTCTCATTTGCTAGCGTTGCAACTTCATCGTCCCGAGGAGTCGTACAGGAAAGGAAAGGGGGGGAAAAATGGGGCAGAGTCTATGCAGCATGCAGGCCCTAAGAATAGCTCAGTGTTGCAGGAAAATGATGCCACAGCAAACCTGAAAAAAAAAAACATGAATGTATGAATGAATTCAAAGGGTGCTCTGCAACCGCTGACTCATAACTAATACTGCTTTCTTTGCTGAGAAATTGCTAAATTGAGTGAATTTCTTTATCTTTTGTGCATGTTAACACAAGAAACAAAAATGCAACAAAGCATGCTGATGTTCATGAGACAAAGAAGAGATACAAATATGTGTGACACCTATAAACTGAGGAACTTGTTATTAAGTTGTGTGATGTTTTCTTTTGCCTGTGTGTTGTAATTTTTCCGTTTAAAGCAAACACAGCCATGCCACTTTTTTATTAAGGCCATATCAGTTACTCTAATTGTTTCAAGTACCGTACTTTCCACAGTGTCAGTTCAGGTATTCACTCTGACATCACGCAGCTGCAAAGCCTGTTTGTCCAGTTTAAAAGGAACTGAAAAACAAGGGTGTGCATCGACACCGCTGCAGAAGTATTTACTGCACTAGTGCGTGGCAGGTATCTGGAGTTTATACAGTGTAAAAAAGCAAATTAAAGAGGCTATTGGATCCGTTCACAGAGAGCCACTCGGGTACGCTTATGAAATAGAGTAAGTGAGATGAGTTAGGTATCACCACTGTGTGAAAGTTACAGTTTGGTGTGAAGTCTGCTGGCCGGGGGAAAGTGTCAGTCATCAGATAAACTGGAAAAGACACAAAACAGGCTTGTTATAGCACACCTTTCTGCTATTAAATGTTTCCAACATGTGTGCAAAAGGTGATTTATCTACACCTGGAAAAGTAAATGTCTCTTTGCTTTATCTAAATGCTCCAGCATCAGCCAGCATGTGTCTGTTTAGTATACACAAGTCATGTTAACCCCTTGTGTCACCGTTTACTCTAGGAGGGGCCCTGTTGAGGGGTCTGTATCGTCACAAGGCTGGGTGTGTGTGACACATCCTTTCTCCCCGCCCGAGGTGCTTATGTAGCCTAAATAATGCTGAGTGTTTGTGTGGGATTAGACAGATAGATAGATAGATAGGTAGATAGGTAGATAGATAGATAGATAGATAAATAGATAGATAGATAGGTAGATAGATAGATAGATAGATAGATAAATAGATAGATAGATAGATAGATAAATAGATAGATAGATAGATAGATAGATAGATAGGTAGATAGATAGATAGATAGGTAGATAGATAGATAAATAGATAGATAGATAGATAGATAGACAGATAGATAGATAGATAGATAAATAGATAGATAGATAGATAGATAAATAGATAGATAGATAGATAGATAGATAGATAGATAGGTAGATAGATAGATAGATAGATAGGTAGATAGATAGATAAATAGATAGATAGATAGATAGATAGACAGATAGATAGATAGATAGGTAGATAGATAGATAGATAGATAGATAGATAGATAAATAGATAGATAGATAGATAGATAATAGATAGATAGATAGATAGATAGATAGATAGATAGATACTTTATTGATCCCGAGGGAAATTCAAAGCATCCAGTATCAGGTTACAAGACGTAAATGACATGAAAATTAGTATGTCTGTATGTATGTTGTAAATGTAGTATGTAGTCATTTAGTATGTCAGAAAATCACTATAAATAAACTATAAATCACTATAATATATCTCTATATATAATATCACTATATAATATATATACATATTTACTGTACATTCTATATATTTTATTATATTAGTCTATATTATATAAAATGTCATTATATTACACTATATTGTTCATATTGCACTATATTATATTATATTATATTATATAACTGCACTCTGCATTACTGTGGTACAACACTGCCTCTCTTCTCTGCTGTTTTACATTACTTGCTGCTATTTTGTCCTTTGTATATACCCTCTGTTTTTATTTTTATTTATCTTATCTATTTTGTTTAATGTGTATTTTGAGCTTTCAAGTCTGTGCTGCTTTATTCCCCTCTGGGGATCAATAAAGTATTATCCTATCCAATAAATAAAAACCCTCATTATTAAATATATGAGTTTAAAAAAACACGACATACTACGACACATTTCCCTCCTCTCTGTATAAAAGTGAAAGCAACACTGCACGATGCAAAATAGGATGGTGGTGGAAAGCGTTGCGTGCGCGCTCCCGGGGAGCTCCGGTCGCTGCGGCAGTTGCCAGGGGAGATAGGAGGGGAGGGGTTTTGATTGGCTGAAGTAGGGCCTGTTGCCATGACGACGGCTAGGGGTTTTGGTAGCGTTGCCTTGCGCTTGTGTGTGTGTGTGTGTGTGTGATCCGCGCTTGCTGCTGCTGCTGCTGCTGCCGTGTATGGAGGAAGCAGCTGCTGATCTGATCTCTGACATTGTGTGAGAGACATCTGAATATAAAACTGCGCACAAGACGTGTCGCTTTTTAAAAAAATAAAATAAAACAACACCGGACCGAGGCGACGCCGTTGGATGATTGTGAGTGTTTTCATTTTTATTGTGTTTTTTTTTTGTCTCGGCGTTTGTGCGGTTCGTGTTTCGAACAAGCTAAAAGTAAATGTGGTCAAGTGACTTTGCTTTTAGAGACCAGCATGGCAGATCAAGCGTCAGCATGTGGCCAGCTAGCTCCACGTCAAACGTTTACTTCTCTGTGTTGAAAGCTTGACGAGTTAACAGACGGGTATCCATGGAAACGCTCAAAGGCGGCTTACACTTTGATGTGCGAAACCAGAATGGGAAATTAACACGGGGAGTTAAAAATGTTATGCTAACCCGCTAGCTGTACCCATCGAGCTAACGCCAGCTCCGACTGACTGGTTCCTGCTTCTTTTGGTTGGGCTAACACTGTGGGTGAAACCCTCACAGCTTTTTGTGATTCTCATTAAAACTCACACAACTCTTTCCCGAGCTGTATCGGTGTATAAATAACTTCATAACGAGTCCCGTGTGTCGCGGCTGTGTTGTGCAATAACGTCCAAACGTCATGACGTGTAACTTTGTGTTCCTCATTGTGTTACTGCTCAGTGTGTGGACAGAGTCTCAGTATTTCTCTTCTCAGCATTTATAGCTTCAGACCTGCTTTTGTTTTCTTTGCTTTCAACACTTTTGAGTTAATCTTTTTTTTTCCACACCTAATGATTGATGCTGTGTCTTTGTTTACGGCGTAGTGTCTCAGGTTGTAGAAGAAGAAGAAAACAGATGTGACACTTTTGGGAATTTTTGGACTACAAAAATACAACCTTATTTATATTTATTAAACCTACTTCTTTCTGCTAATTCAAAGCATTTACAGATGCTTACACACATATGTTCACAGTGTTTATTTAAATGTGAAAACTTTGATATTGCTGACCCCATCTTAGGGCTGGGAGATTTGACCTCACCATTAGATTATTGAACATTTTACCTCGATTACAATTAATGAATTAGTATTTAGTTTTAGTTTTTTGCTCTCATAGTTCACTGACGAGGTCTCTATACTGTAAATATGCTCAACTGTTAAAGCTGGGATATTGTTTCTAATGAAAGAGTGTCATATCTATGGAACTATTTTGGGGTTATTTATTGAATATTTCAATCTGAAATCAAAGCATCGCTTGAAATGAAAACGACACATTTCAGTTTTAAAGTAGATATTAACTTCTCTAAAACAGTAGAAAATAAATAACTTGTTTTTCCTGCAAAAGTTTTTTTTTTTTTTTTTTTTTTTTTACTTCTTTTTGTTCGGTGTCGTCTTTCCTAAAGACAAAATGTGTCCAAACGACGGACATTGCTTCCATGTTTGATTGGACGTGTAGTCACATGACTCTGCCCTGAAAATAATCGACATCGACAAGATTACATCGGTTAGAGGTTCTGAATGTTGGTTTCGATTAATTGCCCAGCCCTAACCGAAGCTGAGACCTTTTTCTAACGCCTTTCAGTCAACCATGTATTCATTTAATAAATGAATCCCATCCAGCCATGTGCTAAGAATATACATTGACTTCTGTGTCACTTAAAAGTCAACAAATCAAGGATCGCATCAAAGTCATAGTTTTGATTTACACATACAAAGATTGAGGACGGAAAGGAGACAAATCCGCTCATAACCGAAATACTTTCATGCCCAAGATGTTCTCGATGTTTTCAATTAAAGCAGTAGCAGTGTTCAATGTGACTTCTGTCTTCCTGGTGGGAGGAACGTCTAACTGAGCATGTGCAGTACGAGTATCTGTAGCACGTCTCTGATTGGAGGAGTAACACTTTCTTGTAGCTGTCTTCAGTGTTCCTTACATTGCTGCTGCTGCTGCTGCTGCAAATTGAAGACAGAAACAATCTTCTCCTCAAACGTACAAGTGGTGCAACATTTCAATATAGTTTAAAATGCTATACCAACGGCACCAGAGGTTAGGCGGCTTCATCGTGTAGCTAAGCACATGATGTAATGGATTATCACAAGATTATCCCAGATATGGAGTGCTCTACAAACAATGCCAGAGTGTTGGAAAAAATATCCAGTTTTTATACACTCTACATGTTGTTATTGTGGGTTCAGGCGTCTTCCCCTCACAGTCTCTTTACCTGCAACCTGTCAGTTTTTGTATTTACCCAACTGGAGAAACCTCATCTAAAATTCATTTGTAAGTGCCGAGGTTTATGTGTTTATTCTGAAAAAAAGGTTGTGACATTAATGGAGGGAGACGTTTCCTTTCTCTCTTGCCTGACGGGTTTTTAAAGCGCCGGTGCTGCACAGAAGACAAAGTCAGCAGGAGCTTTAAAAACAGAAGAAGACAAAAAAAAAGAAAAGAAGCAGATGTTGTCAATCTGCCATTACAGTGTAGACACAACCTCCATGGTCATTTTGTAGGTCAAACCATCTGTTGTTTGTAGTAGTAGCATGTTAGCATGTACCCTCTCTGGTTCCTGTTTGTGAGTACAGGAGCCTCTGAAGGGTAACTACCTCTGCCTCCCAGAAATAGACGAGGGTCTGCTAAGTTGACTGACATTCATTACTATAAATAAGCCTCGTGGAAACCCGGTGATGCAAGTATCATTGCTGATGAAAAACTGGCTTTAATAAGCACGTGGATTTTAAAAGCTTGTCAGTGAACAGAATTATCTTCAGTGGAGGAGGAGCATCATGAGGTTATTTAAATAGCTGGAACATACCTCCACATCATTGTACTTAGAATAGCAGCGCTCGACATTACAACTGGCCCCCGGACGCCCATGATGACCCCAGGCCTGCTGATTGTACGGCCTTAAAAATAAAAAACAGTGGGGCTCCAGTGGACTAGTGTCTAGTTCGTGCATCCCATATGTAGCCCGGGTCCAAATCCAACCTGTGGCTCCTTTGCTGCATGGCGTTCCCCGCTCACTCTCTTCCTTATTTCTGACTCCACCATCCTGTCTCTCCAATTAAGGAATAAAAAGCCTGAAAATGAGTCTTCAAAAATAATTAAAATAGTAATATACAGTAACACATAAATCATATTTTCACATCGTTTACCTTTTGATTCAGGTGTTTCAGTTGAGTGTTGTTTGTGATATCACCTCGTTAATTACTGCATCTTTTCATAAGCGCCCGTGAACTTGGCGTGTGTCGTATTGAAAGGCAGCCGCAGCATTGTAACACTATATGTGAGTTTTTTCAAATGAGGATCAACATAATAGGTCAACTTTAAAGGAAATCATTGGAAGTGTCTAGAGAGAACATGATGCCGCTAAGTTCAATAAAATTACTGTTAAGTTCAATTAGAACGTTTTTGAAATTGCTTTTAAATCAGATGAGTTCATTTCCTTCATTTCTGGAGTAAATTGGTTGTTGCGGTGGTGGGGGTCGGATCTGGAAAAGCCAAATGTAGCTTAATGTCAACCTGGCATTGGATAGCGTTACACTGAGGTTTCAGGTTCTTTTGGACGTCAATAAGAGGTGAAATGCTGATGAAACCTGAGGCCGCCTGTCCCCGTCTTTGTGATTATTCTGGTCTCTCTTTTTTTGTAGGTCAGCTTACAGAGCAAAATGTTTGGAAACTTAAAACCAAAAATTTACAACCAGTTGACGTGACACATGATTACATGAGTCATAGTACGGTTTGTTGTTTTAGTCATATAATGCTGACGGTAAAAAACCTGCAGTGTTGGCCCGACTTCTTTTATTATCTAAGATCAAAGTCTAGACATTTCTGTGAAGCAGTTATTCCTGACGGTCACATACTTCAATGTATTGTTCCGTCTCTATATGAATCCACTATACAGCAGCGTTATCAAATAGATCTCAAGCTGCAGTCTTGAAATCTGGAGAATGTCACATCTTTTTTTTTTACAACACTTTGGTGTCACTTTTCTGAGAGAATGCGTTATTATTTTGACAATATAAGGAAGGTATTTCTCTGAGGAACTATGATGACAATGAAGCAGGTGACAAGAGATCACCATTGTACTTTTTTAACCCAATGAGGCTCAGTCTAGAAAAGACACTGAACAGTCTATAACCATTTAAAAGGAAAATGACTTAATGTGGGATTGTTATCTTGAAGCTGTGACTCCTTCCTTACTATGTGAGACAGTTCAGAGTCGAGAGGATTCTGCCCTTCAAAATGGAACTGTTGTCATGTAATCAGTCTTATCAGACAGTGTGTACTCTGACCCAGAGTGAATGAAAGGTTGCGTCCTCTATAAAATCCACTGTGGTGTTCGGGGGGCTAAATGAGCGACTGTGGTTTTAAAATGTTGTTGTCTCCCTTTTTGAATCGCTTAACTGAATTGGTTTCTCTCACGGATTGGCCGGAGCAGAAAAAAAGGCTTAAAGTTTTATAACCTGCTGTTCACTGAGAGACCCCTGTAATTACTGAGACGTTTTGTGACTTTGATTTCACAGACTGTACCCGCGCAGTTTGACGCAGCTAGCCATTACCGGTGTAATGGAGGAGGGTTGAATAATTCGATGATTGGCAGAATGAGGAAGTTGACAGTTTTTGGGTTCACTTGAAAGCGACTGTTGTTGCCATTTGCTGTGCTGTGGTTGTGCTCGCTTGCTGTGTTTTCACACATGCAAAGTGGAAAATGACTCAAAATAAAATTGAGTTTTAAGGATATGAAAGTACTCGATATGATATGATATCGTTCTGCCTCCCACGGTGAACTCACAGCTTGACCTATCTGGCTTGTGGAGTTTGTGGTTGTTGGGTGATTGAAACAGCACATGTTGCATCACCTGCTCATCCCCCACCTGTGTGTGTTTGTTTGTGAAGGAGGGGTTTCCCCGAGAGCGTGTCGGCTTCTGTCTCGGGTCGGTGTCATTCTGCTAATCAAACAAGAGGTGGGAGCTCTGCGTTTGAGAAGTTAATGCCTGCAGAGACTTTACACACACACACGTGTTGCCTCCTTTTTCTAAGTTTGTCTGGTCATCATCAACTCGCTTTTTGCTGGTTAGTTTTTACATAATCTATGTAGCATCTCTTACAGAGGTGAACCCTGTTGTTTATGTCCTGATC